TTTTTTTTTTTTTTTAGGGAAATATTTAGCGAACAATGCGGCATCATCAACGAATACATACTTCATAAAGTTCCTGGCGATATTAACGGTGCTCAGGTTGCTCTTATAGCGGACCTAATTAATAGTACACATATTTAATATACCAAATATTTTATATAGGACGTGTTATTTTTAATAAATTATTTTTCCACCGGTGTGCAAGCAACTTAAAAAGCCAACGAGTACTTCTAACATGCGACAACGAAGCGAAATTTTCGAATAATTTTGGCGACTTCACTTGTACATATATATATATATATATATATGAAAAATTGTAATTGTACAAAGAAATAATGAATATTGTTCGATGGTCATATTTGTATTTTAATTGACGAAATGCAACAAATAATGTACTGTACAAACGTATATACACTTATTTTAATCTCATCCTTTTCTGCGGATATGATGTAATCTCGCTTAAACGATAATTACTTAATTATAAACATCGGGATAAAACGATTACGTACACGAATCGAGACATGTACAAATTTACTCGATTCAATAATTGCAACATTGTTATTTCTCAAGAGTGAAACGAGAAGGATTTACCATATAAAGGTAACTCATTGGAGGGAATAAGAGATAAATGATATTGTGAATTTTTAGTATAGAACAACTATTTTTAGTATTAATAGTGTTCAAGAAGTTCATTTTATACAGAATATTTTACTTAACTTGAGCAATCAGAATATCTCGATTATTAATCCATTAACACTTTCGATTCGAAAAAAGGCGAAGAAGTGATAAAGTTTGTTTTCTCTCGATTAAACGAAGAAGATGAAACATAAAACAAAAAAGGAATTTCAAAAATATTTTATTTAGTACAAAAGTTAAGATGGACCAGATTTCATTACACACGCAATATTTTCAACGATTTTTCATAAAGCTTGAAATGAAATAAATTAGTCGTGAATGTAATAGGCTTACGCAAATATATAAAGATATTTTTAGAAAAGATAATGTCAAAGGATTAATGAAGAAAAAAGAAATTAATTTTGTCTATGATATATGATTTTGAAGCAGCCTGGACAAAGAATAGTTCAACACCTATTTTGATAAAATTTACACTATTTGCTGGAAATTTTATGTAGATTTTGATGAGTACAGTGGCGACGCTTTACAGAACAAAAATTTGGAAAATCACAAAATTTTGTGAATTCAAATTGATACAATTTCCTTGGAATTTTTTCATCCTATTACGAAGATTTTAAAATAAATATTATAATGCCTAGAAAAAAAAATGTTAAAACCAAACGTTGCAACATTTAATTTAAAACTCTTTTATATTATCAAATTCTATTTTTTAATATCGGGACTATGAAATGAAATTCCAGAGATTTAATATCTTTTCATTATTATGCTTTCTACCTAATTTTTATAATTCTGTGAAATTTCAAAGGGCTGGAAATTGGAAAATATAAAATAAACTTCTGGATAAAGCCCTACTATATGCATGTATGCTTTTTAATTAGCATACAAAACATATGTAATGTGCAAAATTACATTATGCATCAAAGCATGTTATTATAATATATCAGAGAATTGAAGTAATTTTTGAATATATTAAAAGAATTATTCTCGTTAATAAAAATATCAATTTTATTTATTTAATGTGCATAGTTTTTGCATTCAATTTTTTGACCAAACAATATTTGAAATTTCAAACATAAATTTCTTCAATTATATCAAGAATTATAGATTGCATTATATTTTAAAGATAGAAAATTAATAATACAAATTTGATATAACTTATTCATTTGCTTGAGAATAAATTTTTCGACTATTGTTATATTAATATAATGTTCCTTGTGCAAAACAGTATGTTTTGCATTAAAGAAATGAAATTCATGTTTTTGCTATTATATACAATAACAATTTTAGTATAGTGTCACGTATAAAAAAAAGTTTGAAAAGTTTTACGAAACGACAGAAATGAATATATATTAAATGTATAGTAATATGAGAAGTGAATGTATATTAAATGTATAAATGTACAAATGTATAAACGATGTATAATAATTGTATATTCTAGAATGTTTAATATGAAAGAAATTTTTAATACAAATTTTATTCATAGACATATGAAACATCAATTTTAAACTCTCTTCTTATCTTTCATTGTACTAAAGAATTATTCAATAACATTTGTGTAGCATTATACACAAATATACACAGAGTAATTCTCTTGAACATAATAGTCATTAAAATCATTAATAAAAATTAATCACGAAAAATAAAAAAATAGAAATAAGAAGACATAAGACAACATATAGACCTGTTTTATATAATTTATATAATTTATATAGAAAGGACTAATACCTCTTTATTCAAAAATCGAGTCTTTCTCCAACAAAATTTGTTATTGAATTTCACATTGTTACAATCACTATCAAAATTTGGCATAAACTGACGCCAATCATTTTCCATCTATTTTTCTTTTTTTGTGGAAATAATAAAACTTGATAATATTCTCATAATAAAGCTTCCCTCGAAAATACCTTCGTAGAAAA